GGGGGGGGGGGGTGAAACGTGTTAGGTGTGTTTACTAGCAAGGGTAGGGAGCTGTAGAAACTAATATCATTAAAGAGTCATAACTTAGCAAGTGTAGGGTGTTGTGGACATTAATATTATTAGGGCATGGTAATTAGCATGGGCAGATAGTTGTATAAATCAATTTTGTTAGGGTACGATAATTTAGCATGGGCAGGGAGCTGTAAGAATTATATTGTTATGGAGTCAAAAATGCACATAGGTAAGGAGCTTTGTAAACTAATATTGATAGGGAACAATAGGTTAACATAAACTGGGAGCTATATAAACTAATATCGCTACGGAATTATAAACTAGCATTGGTAAGGAGCTATATAAACTGACGTCGATAAGAAACTAGAAACTAGCAATAGTAGGGATCTATATAAGCAAATATTCATTATCAATTATAATTGAACATGTGTGGGGATAGAGTACTAGTAATCACTGTAAACACGGAGCTATTTAAACTAATATTGCTGCGAGTTATATATTACCATAGGCTTGGAACTAAATAAACTAATATTGAGAGGTACTTTATACATCAGCATGGGTGAGAAGCTATACAGAGTAATAATGATAGAGAGTTGTGAACTAGTAAGGCAGGAGAATTGTATAAACTAATACTGACTCATTCATAATTCACCATATGTAAGGAGCTGTATAAACTTGTATTGATATGGAGTCATAGATTAACGTGGGTGGGGAGCCGTTTAAACTAATACGGATAGGCAGCAATAATTCAATATGAATAGGGAGCAATATTAATTCATTTTGATAGAATTGTAAACACTACAGTTAACAGAGAATTGCCTTAAATCTATCATGAATGAAGAACTTAATAAACTTGTGTGATGAGTGAGTCATATAAACTATCATGTAAAATCTAAAATTGCAGGAACCAAGAGATATCAAGAATAATTAATGTAGGACAAGAGATGCACAGGATAATAGGGTATATAAGGTCTATATTTAAGGAAAATGTGTGCCTTTGCAGGTAAGAACCATGGAACCCAAAACGAGAGGTAGATTGCTCAAGAAAGTGTAGAATCCGGTATATAATACACAGATAAGCGAGTCAACCTGTATCACACAGTGTACTTTTAGTGACATACGGAGACTTCTGAGCAACATAGTTAAGTAAACAATATACGGGGCTGGGGATTCCGGTACCAAACACATACAAGGGAAATTAACGAAAGGAGTAACGATCCCAGTAAGATAACACCTGCTTGTAAATTCTATATCTACGTGAGAATACTGCAATATGTAGGCTAGCGAGATCATTTAGTAGAATATTATGATATATCGGCTAATTAAGTAAAAGATTTCGCAGATAACACTAAAAAAACATAATTTTTTTGTGAGGTACACTCAAACATTCTGCAAAGACGGACTAATACTAAGATATGATAAGAAGACTTATAAAGATACAAGGAATAGACGAGACTTGTGTGATATGCTGGTCTAGTGACACAATAAATCTTACGATCTAGAAATTCCCAGCGAACTTGAAGGTCTATTAGATCAGGTACATGAGAACAGGGAACGCCACGGGTCAGGGAGAAAAGCGAAGGAAAGGGAGAAGGGTGATTCGTGACCTAATAGATAGGGGAGACAGGGAGACCAAGCGAACACACGGCGAAACGAAAAAAAGAAAACATAATAAAAAAGATATACGAGAAAGTGGAACCAAGGATAGGCACACGGGACTGTTAGGGAGTAGTGGGTGTCGGAGGGGAGGGGATGGGAGGGGGGTGGAGGGAGATAATGTACGCAGTGCCCCGTCCTGCCGAAGGTCTCCCTCCCTATCCCTTCCATGCCCCTCCCCGACCCCTCACAACCAGCCCCTTCCTTGCTTTACCCTCGCCCCCTCCCCCCTCCCCCCTCCTCCACCCTATCGGACTCATCTACTGCACCAAACCCTTTCCCCGGCATCCTTCCCTCCACACTTAGGTAGGGGGACGTGTTCCCCCCAATACCCGCCTCCCCATCCCTTGCCGCAGCCCCTGACCTTGCCGGAGTGGGAGTAACTCTTAAACGTTTTGCCGAAAGAGTGAGCGTAGGAGTGCGCGCGCAGCATTGTGAGACGAGGGCGAAGGTGAGCGAGACGAGCGCAGGGAACTGGTCACTCCCGTGGCGCTAATGTCTTCATCAGGACTGCCCGGGCAACAAGGACTCACCTGCGCGCCTCCTCCCCTCCCCCTACCCCGCAGGCCCGCCCTCCCCCCCTTCCCATTCTCTGCCCACGGATACCCTACTCCTCCCCCTCCCACCGCGCCTCCTCCCTTCCCTCCTCCCATGCCCAGCCCAGGCCACCCTCTCGTCCTCCTCTCCCTCTCCTCCGTACAGCCCGACCACTTGGGCTAACACAACCGTAGTGAATGTCGTTATTTATTTACTCATTTTCCGTATAAGCAAGATAAAAAGTACCCATTATGTTTTTGCATGCACAGTAGACGAATCCTAATATGGGTTACTATCAAGGCTTCCCTCACTGCGTTTGTTTTTAGAATTTGTTATGTTAGCCATTTATTTTTTTTTTACTTCTCTCTCTGTTGCTTCACTGTACAGCGTCGCCTATTTATCTATTTACTTTTATCAAATATTCTTCTCTCACTGCTGCGAAGATCTTCCCGGAGGTACGACGCAGCCCTCGTTATAATCCCCAGTGCAACGATTGGCTTTTATACACAGTTGCACCACCGAATAAAAGATCCATTCAAAAGCCATCAGGAACGAGAGTCGATATTTCAAGCAAATGATCGAGCCGCAGAAATGATCTTACCTCGAAATGATTCATTAAAGGGAACCCACCATCTCACTAGTCCTCGGAAGGCTGTCTGTGCACAAACTCTTTAGACATTCATTCACCGATGCATATCTGGGAGTGAGACATTGCTTGAGCAGTTTACTATTAAAATGCCTTATTAACCTGCTTGTAACTTTCAAAAGCACTACTTTATTAACAGGGCCAGGAGACATGTAACTGCTTTCATTTAAGTTACTGATACTTTTGTTAAATTATTGAATAATCATGAAATTATTTAAGGGTAACTGACTACTTAGATAATAACCTAGAGACTGTCTGTGCAAGTGAGTAGAATAATAAGTGTGTAGACTGGCTGGGTCGCTTCTTGGGCAACTAAGCGAGTGATTGAGAGGATATTCATCTAGCACATAGTCTGTTTGTGGGAATAACTGATCGAAAAGCTAATCAGACAGGTCTGTGGCTGACTGAATACGCAGTTGCCCTGCTAGATGTTTGCCTGACTAAGTGGTTGAATAACTGGTGTTGCTGACTGGGTGAAAAAACTGGCCTTTGGGTTGTTTGCACGACTGACTGGATGAGTAACTGAGTCGCTGACTGCAAGTAAGTGACTGGTTGACTGCCTGTACCACCCTGGTCTCCCCTGATCTATCGCGGTGACCGAGAGTATCGTATTAACTTGAATAGAAACTCGGGTTGGACACCTAGGGGTCGGCATCCGCGAGGACTGCGAAGGAAACTCGCCCTTAAGCCACGTATACACAGGGCCGACGCTCCGCCCGCGTGTCAGGGCATGAGTGGCAGTGGGACGGCAAGCGAAAATAAGCTCTGCGCGAGAGCGGCATACGGTTCAGGCCGAGATGGAGTAGATGAAGATGTCACTGGCAGACCACCCAGAACGCAGCCTCCCAGCACAAGGGGTATTCACTGAAAAAAAGCTGAAACAGTCTGGGAAACATTTCATACGATAAAGGCAGCCCTAACCTATGCGTTCCTATTTAACTTTACATTGAAAATTGTGAGAATGTAAGCTCGTGTTCTTGTGGCAGCCTCGTGATAGTGGTTCCTGTCTCACACGCTCGGGGATTTTAAAGTCCTTCATTTGCATACTGAGGTAATGAAGGACGGGCAAAATTCGTGGCGTAGCATTCAGCTTTTTAACATTTCTCCCACATCCCGAGGGCGAATGTGAGTCATCCACCACTTGCACTTATCGACCACCGCATTAGTACCGACCACCTTGACCGCTGCGACCACCGGACCCCTAAAACGAGCCTATTTATTGGTCCCCCCCCATCTCCCTACCCCTCAGACGAAATCGGTTTTAACAGCCTCAGAGTTTAACTGTAACCTTCTTACCTATTGACGGTGAAGAAATCTGGTGCGGTGGAATTGTGGGATCATATATTACTTCGTACCTTCATGGGGTGCCAAGATCCCTTCGCATCCCCCATACCTGCGGCTCTGTCTGTCTGTACAAAGGACGTACATACGGCACTCAGCCTCGGTGATAAGAGCAAGGAATTCTCAGCAAGTATAATTAAAATGATGTTAGACTCATGAGATCGAGGTATGACTGCAATGACACGAGATGTTTTCCTAAACTTTTATTTACAAGGAACTTGTAAAGCGAGACGCCTGTTATTGTAATATATCACGAGTGCTGTCTGCTAGGTGGTCCGTCTCTGTACGTGCGAGTGTTTGTGTGTGTGCCCCTTTTTGCATACCGCGGCCGTGTTGACAATGGGCCTCAAGAGTTGCTCCTTGCATGTAATATTTGAAGAAAAAGGAAACACGGTTGTAACAGAGTTTCTGTCAGTTGGGTCTAAGGCGCCGTGCCCGCCTGACTGTGCCTAGGTGCCCAAGTCTGAATTAATTTCGTCGTTTAAATAATGAATACATACGTCTTGAACTCAGCTTGATAATTCATGCCATCCGAGCTATACTCCCCTCACAAGTCGGAGGGCATCTTGCCATCAGGAGTACTGAATGTTCTGCAAGTGTCTTTACAGTTTTGAAATTATCGTAGTTCTGGCGGTGCCACTTGTGCGGCCGCAAGGTGGGTGGCCCGCACTCAGGCGGCCCGTTGCCATGACGACGCTCACCAGCCAATCAGCAGTGGCGGGGGGCGGGGTCTTGGCTAGCCACTCCCTCGAGTATCGGGGCACAACATAACGTTGTGCGGCGAAATCGTTTAGTTGACGCTGGTTGCTCTTGTGGAATGGATTGTCGTGTTACTGGTGTTTTGAGTGCAGTGTAGTGAGAGTGTCAAGTGTCATGTGGCAGGGATGGGGGCCTCCGCCCCCCATGCTATAACGTGGTCGCCCACTGTGTCTTGCGAAGGTGTAGCCGCTACAGACGCGGCTCTACAGTGAATTGTGGAGTGTGACATGGCCATCGCCGTGGGAGGTGAAGAAAGTGTTGGCGAGGGCGGCGTGTGGGCGTCCGGGGCCCGCCCGCATGAAGACTTGTGTACTAGAACTAGCTGGGCAGACGCCCGCACCGCCCTCGCCCATATTAACAAGGTAAGAAGAAAGTAAAGTGCGAGGGAAAGAGAGTGGCTGCGTGCGGCCGCCAGGCGAGATCAGCGACCCTGAGAGGAGGAGGCCGAGTGTGCGGCCGTGGTGCGTGTAGGGGACCACGGGCGCCGTCGGGGGGAGGGCGCTGCGAGGGCTCCCCTGGGGAATATACGCAAGGAGTTTTCACGCAGGGTACTGTAGGTCCTCATTTGACCCCGGTACGCTGGGCCGCCGCCTAGCACAAGAGCTCAGTGGCCGCACTCTCTCTCCCCGTCCCAGCGTATGTTGTGGCGCCAGGCTTGCCCGAGCACGCTGCCACCCCCTCCCGCCTCCCGTCCCCCTGCTCCCTCCCAGCTCTCCTCCCCTCTCCAGCTCTTTCTCTTTGCTCTTTTGTCTCTTCTTCCTCTTCTTCTACGCCTCTCACGCCATCATCATCATCATCATCATCATCATCATCATCATCATCATCATCATCATCATCATCATCATCATCATCATCATCATCATCATCATCATCATCATTATCATCATCATCGCCACTACCACCACCACCATCATCTTTATCATCATCATCAACATCATTATTATTGCCATTGTCGTTATAACTATCATCATTAATATCATCATCCCGCCATCACTATCATCCTCATCATCATTCTCACCATCCTCCTCCTCCTCCTCCTCCTCCTCCTCCTCCTCCTCCTCCTCCTCCTCATCATCATCATCATCATCATCATCATCATCATCATCATCATCGTCGTCGTCTTCATCGTCAGTTATCATCATCTTCTTCTTCTTCTTTTCTCCTCCTTCTCCTCCTCCTCCTCCCCCTCCTCCTCCTCCTCCTCCTCCTCCTCCTCCTCCTCCTCCTCCTCCTCCTCCTCCTCCTCCTCCTCCTCTTCCTTCTCCTCCTCCTCTTCCTTCTCCTTCTCCTCCTTCTCCTCATCTTGCTCCTCTTCCTCCTCCTCCTCCCCCCCCTACTCCTCCTCCTCCTCCTCCTCCTCCTCCTCCTCCTCCTCCTCCTCCTCCTCCAATACTACTAAACCCCCTCTATTCTCCACCCTCTCTGTTTCCTCTTACGTTAGAAATTACGCAATCCCATGTATACTCTTAAGGTCCAAAAAGTAACGCCAATGCTCATAGTATTCTTATATTCTTGACTTAAAGCACAGGACCCAAGAATGTCTATTTCAGTCCCATTTCTAATAATTCAAACAAACTCGAAAAAAAGGTTGAAAACACATACCACATTTTATATAAGACAAACCCTGTGCTTTAAAATCCCGTGTAATATATGCATACATATGTATATACACACACAGGTTATAAATGTGTGTACGTAGGCCTATAGTATTTTATACACTGGAGAATTCAATATTGCTCGAAGGTATTGAAACTACATGTAAAAAAAAGTCGTATTCCTGTAAGCACTCTAAACCACGATTAAATTTAATGCTCCAATATTAGAATAAAAATAATTAATTAATAAAGATTAGTTTTGTGATTACATATTATGATTACAATATGAGAGAAGGGGAGAGGAAGGAAGGGGAAGAGGAGAGGGAGAGGGAGAGGGAGCAGGGAGAAGGAGAAGGGAGGAAGAGGCTGGGAAGGGAGAGGGAGAAGGGAGGAAGAGGAGAGGAAGGAGCAGGGAGAAAGAGAAGGTAGGAAGTGGCGTGGGAGGGAGAGGGAGAAGGGAGGAAGAGGCGAGAGAGGGAGGAGGGAGGAAGAGGCGAGAGAGGGAGAGGGAGGAGGAGGCGGGGAAGGGAGAGGGAGGAGGGAGGGAGAGACGGGAGATGGAGCAGGGAGAAGGAGAAGGGAGGAGCAGGCGGGAGAGGGAGAAGGGAGGAAGAGGCGAGAGAGGGAGAGGGGAGGGGGAAGGGAGGAGGAGGCAGGGAAGGGAGAGGGAGGAGGCGGGGAAGGGAGAGAGAAAGAGAGGGATTTAGTGGAGGGAAAGAAAGAGATGGAGGAACCAGAATGAAGGGTAAATGGATAAAGAGAGAGAAAAAAGAAAGATGGTTAAAAGAGAGTAGATGGAAGTATAGATAGTGGTTGAAGTACTATGGCAAGAGCCCCCCCCCTCTTCCTCATCTCTCTACCTCTTCCTCTTTGCTCTTGTTTCTCCTTCCTCTCCTTTATTTTCCTGTTAGAGGATGGGGGCCTGGCAGTAATCACCTAAAGCCTCAAATGGTCATTCTTAAGTGAGAACTTCACACACACACACACACACACACACACACACACACACACACACACACACACACACACACACACACACACACACACACACACACACACACACACACACACACACACATATACACACACACACACACACACACACACACACACACACACACACACACACACACACACACACACACACACACACACATAAGGATGATTACTTCCATAGACCTAAATACACACATATACACTCACATACATACATACATACATGCATACATACATACATACATACATACATACATACATACATACATACATACATACATACATACATACGTACACGCGCGCGCTCTTATCCACTTCCAGTCCAGTAAACTACATGATATCCATCTAGCCATATCACATTTCACCCCCTCCCCCCCCTATGTTTCCCTAAAAAAAAAAAAAAAAAAAAAAAAAAAAACTTTGCAGCCCATCACCATCATGACAGGTGTCAGGCATCAATCAAATAGACCTCCAAGCTTTCTTCTTCTTCTTTTTTTCTTTTTTCTTTTTCTTTTTGTCTGTTCCTCGCCTCTTAATTCTCAATAATTTCCCCCTAAACAAAGGGCACTAACTCGTTAAGTCTCTCTCTATCACTATACTCTCGTCGGAGTATTTAGGGGTTAACAGCTAGTATATTAACGTCGTAAAGCGCGGCGGAGTCCACAATCAAAGTATATGCAGGTGGGTAATGGAATACATTGGGCACCATAATGTGTCTTCTGAGTATAATAATCCAAAGCGACGGATCTATAAATATGGCGTCGGGTACGGGGGTCGAGGGGGGAAGGAGGGGGTGGGGGTGGGGGTGGGGGTGGGGGGTGTAAAGTAGGGAGGGGGAGGGAAGGGGGTGGTGTAAGGGAGGAGGTGGGGTGGGGGGTAGGTGTAAGGGAGGGAGGGGATGGGGGTGGGAGTGGTGATTCGAGAGAGGGGAGGGAGGGGTGGTGGTGAGGGAGAGGGGGGGGGAGTTCGAGAGAGAGGGGAGGGGAGGGGAGGGGGTGGTGATTCGAGAGAGAGGAGGGGAGGGGAGGGGAGGGGGTGGTGATTCGAGAGAGGGGAGGGGGAGGGGAGGGGGTAGTGATTCGAGAGAGGGGAGGGGAGGGGATGGAGGGGGCAGGGAAAGGTACGAGAGAAGGAGGGGAAAGGGGAGGAGAGAAAGGGGGAGGGAAAAGTGCAAAATGAGGATGAGGGGAAGGGAAAGGGGTAGGGGATGAAGAGGTAGAGGAAGGGATAGGAAAAGGTGCAAGAAAATGAGGGGAAGGGGGGAGGTGGGGGGGGGCAAGGTGGAAGAGGAAATAGGGTAGGGAAAATAGTAACTAGGAGAAGAGGGTGTAAAAGGAAGACGAGAAGAGGTAGGGGAAGGGGTTCTGTGAAGAGGAGAAGATAGGGATACTGAGGGGGGGGGGGCAGGGTTAAAAATAGTTGTAACCTTAGTAGTAGGAGTACTGGTAGTGGTAGTAATAATAGTAGTAGCTGTAGTGATAGCAGTTGTAATAGTTGTAGTATCAGCAACAGTAATAGTAGTAATAGTAGCAGTAGTAGTCGCGGCAATAGTAGTAGTAGTAGTAGTAGTAGTAGTAGTAGTAGTAGTAGTAGTAGTAAGTAGTAGTAGTAGTAGTAGTATAGTAGTAGTAGTAGTAAGTAGTAGTAGTAGTAGTAGTAGCAGTAGTAGTAGTAGTTAGTAGTAGTAGTAGTAGTAGTAGTAGTAGTAGTAGTAGTAGTTAGTAGTAGTAGTAGTAGCAGTAGTAGTAGTAGTAAGTAGTAGTAGTAGTAGTAGCAGTAGTAGTAGTAGTAGTAGTAGTAGTAGTTAGTAGTAGTAGCGGTAGCAGTAGTAATAGCAGTAGTAGTAGTAGTAGTAGTATAGTAGTAGTAGTAGTAGTAGTAGTAGTAGTAGCAGTAGTAGTAGTAGTAGTAGCAGTAGTAGTAGTAGTAGTAGTAGCAGTAGTAGTAGTAGTAGTAAGTAGTAGTAGTAGTAGTAAGTAGTAGTAGTAGTAAGTAGTAGTAGTAGTTAGTAGTAGTAGTAGTAAGTAGTAGTAGTAGTATAGTAGTAGTAGTAGTAGTAGTAGTAGTAGTAGTAGTAGTAGTAGTAGTAGTAGTAGTAGTAGTAGTAGTAGTAGTAGTAGTAGTAGTAGCAGTAGTAGTAGTAGTAGTATTTACAGCAGTACCGGTTACACTAGTACAGCAAATGGTAGTGTTGTACAACAAAATTAAACGTAGTATTAGCTATAATAGCTGTGGAATGGTTGTAAAGTAAAACGAACAAAGGTTGAAATCGAAAAAAAAGAAAAAAAAATGTGATATAGAGAGATTATCAGCTCTTTTTATGTTTTCTCTAATATTTCAAACTCGTTACCTAATCTCTCTCTCTCTCTCTCTCTCTCTCTCTCTCTCTCTCTCTCTCTCTCTCTCTCTCTCTCTCTCTCTCTCTCTCTCTCTCTCTCTCCCTCCTCCCTCCCTCCTCTCCCTCCCTCCCTCTCCCCTCCTCTCCCTCTCCCTCTCCTCTCCCTCTCCCTCTCCCTCTCCCTCTCCCTTTCTCTTCCTCTCCCCTCTCCTTCTTTCTGTCTCTCCCTCTTCCTCTCCCTCTTCTCTCCTCTCCCCTCTCCCTCTCCCTCTTTTTGTCTCCTTCCTCTCCCTTTCTCCCTCTCTTCTCTCTAACTCTTTCCTCTCTACCTGGGGGGGGCGATTCGAGAGAGGGGAGGGGAGGGAGGGGGTGGGGGATGGTACGAGAGAAGGAGGGGAAAGGGTAGGGGAAAAAAGGGGAGAGAAAGGTGCAAAAGGAGGAGGAGAGGGGGAAGAGATAGGGGAGGAAGAGGTAGAGGATCCCCTCTCTCTCCCCCTCTCTCCTCTCTCTCTCTCTTTCTGTCTCTCCCCTCTCCTCCTCCCTTCCTCTCTCCCATCTCCTTATCTCTCCCTCTCTCTCCCTTCCTTCCACCCCTCTCCTTCAATTTCTACCAATCTCTCATCCAATCCGTATTTCCTTCTCCATTCTTTCCTTCCTCTTTCTTAACTCCTCCCAGTCTTCTAACCTTTACTTCCTCGCTTCCTCCTTCCTCCCCTCTGTTCGCTGGCTTTATTTTTCCATCCTTTGAGCCGCCCTCCCTTCCCTCCCCCTCCCTCCCCTCCCATGCCCCTCCCCCTCCCCCTCCCCCTCCCGCTCCCCCTCCCCCTCCCCCTTCCCGAGGTTTTAATTAGATGAATGTGTTGACAGCAGAGGCCCAGCTGGCACGTCGAACACTGTCGCCATAAAACACTATCCCCGTTTGATAGTGTCAGCGGGCGTAGCTTTCTCCGTCGGCGGTTGTCATCGTCGCCGTTCACCGCTGTCAAACGTTATTAATGCGTCTTTTTGCGGGCTGCATCCGTGACGCGATTTTTATTTTATTATTTTTTTTTTGTGCTTTTTAATCTGAGCGTCTTCTTTGCGCTTCCTTTTGTGACTGCGCCGCGCCTCTGATTCGCGTCTTTGTCCCGCGTCGAGTCAGCGCGTCGGCCGCCCGCCCGCCCGCACGCCGATCTCGGCATCGCGGCTCTTTGGTCCCTGAGGCGCTTTGTGTTCTCCGTGGGCGCGGGGAGCGTTTCATCTGCCGCCCTGCCAGAGCCTCCTTCAGAACTCTGGCCGTTAATTACCGGCGGCCCTGTAATCTGTCTGCTTGATGGTGGCACAAGTTAATGATTATTATCCTCCGCCGCTGCCATACGTTACTATTATTCTTGTATAAAGTTTTATTGATTCATTAAGAACACTTTCAGTGAGAGGTGGTCTCATTATCTCACGCTTGGAGAACACGGTTTATGCTTTCATTATATCTCGTTTGAAGTATTTGAACACAGGGTTGCGTAGGGAGCAGATGGATGAGGCTTCTTGGCGTGTATATATAGAGGGCGTGCGGGCGTGTTGCAGCGACATTCTCTCTTGTCACGGGAGGAGTTTGGGTTTTAATTGCGGAAGGAATCGGCTTTCGTGATCGCTCGCCTTTCATAAGCGACGATTCGATTGCATCAGACACAAAGCAACCTTGGGGATCGTTGCGGATTTCCTCGTCTTTCCGCGTATTATTACACATTGATAATGATCCTGAAGCGATGATGACTTCATTCTCCTCGCCTTTAAGTCATTCTGCTTTTGGCGTGAGTATTTATTTTCGCTTCCGAGTAGAATGCAAGGCAGGCCGAGAACCAGCATGTCCCGACCCGAACACCTACGTCTGCGCCGCATCTGCCGTTTATCGTCACTTCGTCCTTGTCTCGTCTCTTCTTCAGTAGGCTAGTCATGTAATGCAGAACGCCGGTCCAGCTGCTCGACGCCCGTGAGGCAGTTATGCAGGCGGTGCAAGGTCCTTCAGCTTATTATCGAGATATTTTATACTTCCTGCTGCGTAAGTGAGGCTACCCCCGCCCTCAGCTCACGAGGGAGTCGTAAGGGCGATGTGTCTGTACACTTCCTATGTCAGAGTCGGCCGTGCGCCAAGAGTTGTTTTCTGGACGGCGCTAAGATTTTGTTTTCGCTGATTTTCTGACATTAACTAATTCCCCGACGTCCGGTAGCCTCGCCGACGGCCGGAAGTTGCGGATAGCCACGCCTTTCTTGCAGGATCCGCCAGACGGGCAACCTTTGGCCCTCCCTCTATTCACCTTTCTTATCTTCCTTTTCTCAACGTCTTTTTCTTTCTTAATCCCTGTTTTCTGTTTTTACTCTCTACCATTCCCCATTATTAGGTATATTCTCTTTCCTTTATTGCTAACCGGCAGATCACACTATGCGTACTTTCGATTTTGCACCTTATATTACAGTAGATATCAAATTGTAGTGTGAGTAAACTTTGTTTTGGCAGTAAAGATTATTGAAAAGTAGTGTTTATTAGCTAAGGCAATTTCATCCAAGTCACTGTCAGTATCCTACCTTCTATTTGATGATTTACAAGTGGTTATTACCTTGTTTTACCTGGAAAGTCAACGTGATTTATTAACACACAGGACCGAATATGCACTTTGCTTAATGCATATACGTGATGACACAGGTAATGGGTTTCATTCCCAGCACTTTTATTTTTTTTACCATAAATGGCCACTCGGGTTTTGAAAAATGGCCGACGGGGCGTATGTTTTCCCCATCCAATTATAGACACCGGATTCACGCATTTCCGCCGACGAAGGAAAACTCGGTGTTCGATCCCTCTTGTTCTGGCGGCAGCACGTCCTCGGGGTGAAGGAGGGGGAGGGGAGGGGGGAGGGAAGAGAGAGGGAAGGAAGGGGATGGGAAAGGGGAAGGGGAAGGGGAAGGGGAAGAGGAAGGGGGAGGGAGAAGGAGAGTGGGGGTGTAGGTAGAGGGAGAGGGAGAGTGCGAGGAGAGAAAAGTTTAGGGGGGGGGAGAGACATTTATCTTTTAGCTTGTTAAACCTACGGCACCGCCACACATCCTGTTTTTCAGCTTCACCAGCAACACTCATCAACACCTCCTGCTGCGGGTGGGGGAAGGGGAGGGGATGGGGGAGGGATGAGGGATGGGGGTAGGGAGGGGTGCAGATGGAGTGGCATGGGGACGGGGGGGGGGGCGTTATTTTAACGAAGACAAGTTCAGGAAACAGATGCAGAAAAAAAGGTACTAGGGTAGGAAGGGAGAAGGGGGGAAGGGAAGGGAGAGTGGGAGGAAAAGCGTAGGGGAGAGACGTTTTAAAGTAGAACGAGAAGAAAGAGGAGAAGAAGAAGAAGAAGAAAGAGAAGAAGGAAGAAGAAGAAGAATAGCATGGGGGCGACAGGACGTGACACCCGTGATGGTGATGGTTTGGGATATAAAAAGAGAAGGGAATTAGAAGATGGATTATGGGCAAGGATGGAGAGGTGGCTAATGGAGCGTTTGCAATTAAAAGCACAGAAGAAACAGAGAACAAAGACGTACAGCAAGATAACAGCGGCGAGCGCAAACGGGTCATTTGAACATTAAAAGAGAGATAAGATGTTTGTCAGAACTTGAGTGAAAGAAAAGGGAGGCTAGGAGAAGAACAAGTGGGTGAAAGGAGAAGTAGACGAAAGAAAGGATTAAAAAAATATCCGAAAGAGGGGTAAGAACAGGGAAGGGGATAAGGTAAGAGAGAGAGAGAGAGGGAGAGAGAGAGAGAGAGAGAGAGAGAGAGAGAGAGAGAGAGAGAGAGAGAGAGAGAGAGAGAGAGAGAGAGAGAGCAATAGTGAGTTGGAGGAGTTGTAATAACTCTCCGATGAGGCCCTTTGTGCCTGTCAGCGCCGCCTCGCCCAGACATCTGTATTAATGTAGTTTTTAAGAGCGAGACAACTTACACGTTCCCTCTCCCTCTGCGGCAGGGACAACTCCGTTATAACAGCTGGTTTGTTTGAAGGAGCTTCCCCTCCGCGTATTGGCGACGCTGAGGAAGTGTTGGGGGAAGCGAAGAGCGACTTCGTCCCCTTCTTCGTGGTCGTGCGTCGAGAATGAGACTCGTTTTTGGGTCGAGTGTATTTTTTCGTGATTTTTTTTCCTTCTTGTGTCTTTATCATGTTCCTTGGAAAGGCTGCTCCGCTTCTTGAAAGCGGTCTCGGAGTGGCTGCCTTATCTGGGCCATCTTGTAGAATCGTAGTCTTGTAGAGTGGCCAACGAGAACAATGGCTGCATGAAACTAAACCAGCGCGTCTTCTCCCCGCTTGCAGGGTCGGGCGACCGGCAGCCGGGCGGCACTATGGGTACGGACCAAGTTACAGTGGCAGCTCATGCAGCTTGGGGTGTTCGCTCAAAGACACGCCGGCAAGGTGCTCTTCGTGGCCCTCCTCGTCCTCGCCACCTTCTGCGTCGGCCTCAAGAGCGCGACGCTGCTCACCGACGTCCAGAGATTATGGGTTGAAGGTAAGTGGCTTGCGAGAGAGTTACTTGTGTCTTCCTTCCTTCTTTTGGTTCCATAATTGTTTTTAATTATTTTATGCTTTATAACCTCTATACCCCCCCTCCTCTCTCTCTCTCTCTCTCTCTCTCTCTCTCTCTCTCTCTCTCTCTCTCCTCTCTCTCTCTCTCTCTCTCTCTCTCTCTCTCTCTCTCCTCCCTCCTCTCTCTCTCCCTCTCCCTCTCCCTCTCCCTCTCCCCTCCCTCTCCCTTTTTCCTTCCCTCCCTCTTTATCTCCATCTCTTATACAGTTACCTCTCTCTCTCTCTCTTACTTCTGATCAGCCTCCCCCTCCCTCTCCCTCTCTCTTCCTCCCCCTCGCTCTCCATTTTCGTCATCTGAGACGGTCATGTCAGAATTCTGAAATTGTGGACGATTTCGCAATAATTTTCTCCCTTGTGCATTTTCTTTTATATATCTTCAAGAAATTATTGTGTGAAATGAGCACCTTATGCAGCGTCGGATTATCTTGTCCTGAGGTGCCAACGATGTCTTCAAGATTGTACAAGGAAGATAAATGCTGAGCAGCGTCTTAAAAGTGAGGCTTCTGGTTCGGAATTTATGTGGAAGATTTACCTAGTTTGGCGATTTATGCCTCTCAAAAAAGAAAACAAAAAATTACACCCCAGCATACGAGGCGAGGAGGAGTTAGTATTCTGGCCAGCAGTTGCTCAGAGCAGTAAAGTTCAGTTTAACCCGGGGTCTTAAATTACTCAGTGGACTGCATGAGACTTGGGGAGCTATACAGTCAGCTGAGAGGACGCTCTTCGTTGCCTCAAAGCTCTCCTCTTCGCATCATGGTTATTTACCTTTCATCTGTTATTGTTTTTTTTCCTGTGTGCCTTCTACCTTTGAGTCCTCTTTTTTTTTTTGGGGGGGGGGGGAGGTTGTCGTTTTGATCCTTCTCGGTCTCACTTCCTTGTTCCCCTTTTTTTTGCGTGTGTTCCTTCAATTCCTGATTTCTCTTCATCCTTTTAAGACGAAATATTTTTCTCGTATTATTTTGTCCTCTCTCTCTCTCTCTCTCTCTCTCTCTCTCTCTCTCTCTCTCTCTCTCTCTCTCTCTCTCTCTCTCTCTCTCTCTCTCTCTCTCTCTCTCTCTCTTCTCTCTCTGTCTGTCTGTCTGTCTGTCTGTCTGTCTAATATATACCTTTCCTTTTCTTTTCTTTTTATAATTTCTTCGACTGAGATCTCCCCTTTTCCTCCCTCTGTCTTTTAAAGAGACTCCCATCGTCCACTCAAGGGGAAAGGGCTTAGATCTATTCTTCAGCCTCTCTTCGTTTTACCAATTCCCTTGTTCTGGAAATAATGAACAAGTAAATGAATGAATGAGTGAATGAAGCTGTAAAAGGAACTACGTATTTCATGATTATGTAATGAGTGGGGTAATTTCAGTGAATGAGCCAGAAGTCTGTGCAATATGGTAATGCGCTTAGTGTACAATATCCATAACTTACTTGTAATTACGTGTTATATTACCGTTTTGGCGTTTCCTTGAGGCTTCATAATTGAACTGCAACAGAGTCTATATTTTAGTGATTTTTTTTTTTTTACACTGTCTGGGTTAATAGCTCTCATTTATTTAAACCAAAAGATCAGAAAATTTTTGAGTGAAGTAGAACTATGGAATAGATCGGAAGCACAAAAAAAATAAAATAAAAAAGAAGAAAATCCTGAAATAGGGGAAGCCAAACCGAGCGTTGGTGGGTGGCGAATGAGCGAGCGGTGAAGGACCTTGGTTTTATCTTCAAGGAGCAAACTACAGAAGGAGAGCCTAGAAGATCTCGGGGGGCTAGAAGATCTCCTAGAAGATCTCGGGGGGCCTCGTCGTCGCGCTGTGAGGCCGTGGGAACCAGCATTTGCATAGATATACACGTAAAGAAGATAAAAGAGTGGGGAAAAGCTCTTGATAGACAGGTATGTTTCGAGGCGGAGGTGGTTCAGTGGGAGGAGGGGGGGGGGGGGGAAGGGGGAGGGGCAGGAGAGGGAGGGAGTGAGGGAGAGAAAGAGCAAGAGAAAGATCAAGGGAAAGAGCAAGAAAGAAAGCGAGAGAGAGAGAGAGAGAGAGAGAGAGAGAGAGAGAGAGAGAGAGAGAGAGAGAGAGAGAGAGAGAGAGAGAGAGAGAGAGAGAGAGAGAGAGAGAGATTGGGACACACATGCTGGATCGTTACTCTTGCTAATTGGTCGTTACATGTCACTCTGATTGCCTAGTTGTTGGTGCTGATGCCTTAGTATGTTAGTGATTGCTGGCGATGATCTGATTGGCGAGTCCTTCACCCTCCTCTGATCTGGCGGGACTGGAGAGTAAATCGTGGGTGGCGGAGAGACTGTGGGACGGCAGAGGCTAAATTAATTGCTGGTCCGGAGTAGCGTGTCGTTTTTTTTTTTGCATTTTTTCTTTTCTTTTCTTTTTGTTTTAATCTCTCTCTCTCTCTCTGTCTTTCTCTTAATCTATCTCTCTTTCGTTTGTTCTCTCTCTCTCTCTTCTCTCTCTCTCTCTCTCTCTCTCTCTCTCTCTCTCTCTCTCTCTCTCTCTCTCTCTCTCTCTCTCTCTCTCTCTCTCTCTCTCCTCTCTCTGTGACTCCTTTCCTCTCTCCATCCCCATTCCTCTCTCTCACCCCTTTCCTCTCTCTCTCTCTCCCCTATCCTCTCTTTTCCACTCTCTACTTTCCTCTCTCTCCCCTTTCCTCCCTTTTCCCCGCCTCTCTCTCTCATTCTCTCTATTGCTCTGTTGTTGTGTGTATTTGAATGAGAGAAAGAGAGAGAGAGAGAGGGGGGGGGCGTTGTATACGTTGTTTCTCACTCGGGGATTTAAGGAGTTTCCTTGTCTGCTTGATGTTACAATAATCCGGAGAGAGAGAGAGAGAGAGAGAGAGAGAGAGAGAGAGAGAGAGAGAGAGAGAGAGAGAGAGAGAGAGAGAGAGAGAGAGAGAGAGAGAGAGAGAGAGAGAGACTCTTGAGATCAAACAGCTTGTTCGTTTTAACTTATTTTCGGATGCATACTTGCCGATGATTATATACATTTTTCTTCCTCCTCAAGTAGATCAAGAAGAGGTCGGAAAACACGCATCCGCCGGTCGTAAAGTAACGCTCTAAATTAGACGTGGTTTAGGAGCGCAAGGATTACCTCACACTCAGATTAAGTGTGAGTCGAGGCGTTTTGTTGTCACTCGCCCTCAAGAGTCGCGGTGGGTGGCGCGGGTGACGGCGGGGCGGCGCGTTTCGGACTCCTGTCACTCGGCCGTGCCCTTGCATGAGCCCCGTCATGAATACGGGCGAGGGCGCGACGCAAGCAGAAGCAGGCAGACAAAGAGGTAGATCTTTTAAATAAGTCTCACGTACGTGAGCGAAGGAGGGAGGGAGGGAGGGAGAGAGGGAGAGAGGGAGAGAGGGAGAGAGGGAGAGAGGGAGAGAGGGAGAGAGGGAGAGAGGGAGAGAGGGAGAGAGGGAGAGAGGGAGAGAGGGAGAGAGAGAGAGAGAGAGAGAGAGAGAGAGAGAGAGAGAGAGAGAGAGAGAGAGAGAGAGAGAGAGAGAGAGGAGAGAGAGAGAGGGGAAGAGGAAGAGAGGAAAGGAGAGAGAGAGAGGGAGAGGAAGAGAGGGAAGGAAAGAGAGAGAGGGGGGGAAGAAAAGAGAGAGAGAGAGAGAGAGGAAGGGGAGGAAGAGAAAGAGAGAGAGGGGGGAGGAGGAAAAGAGAGGGAGAGAGAGAGGAGGGGGAGGAAGAGAGAGAGAGAGCGAGAGAGAGAGCGAGAGCGAGAGCGAGAGAGAGAGCGAGAGAGAGAGAGAGAGAGAGAGAGAGAGAGAGAACGGCCGTAGTTACGTTCATTTGTAACATCCTGTTCCTTCACACCACCGCAATGTTTTATATATCTCTCTCTTCCATACCTGACACTTCTTACTCTCCTTAATTCTCTTTTCTTCCTCCAACATAGCAATGTGCTTTCGTTGGCCGTAATGTATGCCGCATATTTGAAGTCATACTCGTGCGGTCAAACTTAGTCGAAAGAAAAACGGATACACTATGTGAATACAGTCCGAAATAAGTATACATTATTTGAATGCAGTCCGTAAATGCGTGTATATTATATGAATACAGTCAGAAAATACGTTATATTATGTGAATACAGATCGAAATTATGTATAATGTGAATACTAACTTAACATATAAGAATAATTAATTAATCTCCCCCAATTAAAAATAATGATAATGTTTACTCTAGAAGTCTTTTCAAATCTCTCTTTTTTTTTTTTCTTTCCTTTCCTTGGCGTCTCCATAGTTGAAACCACATTCATATTTTCTTGTTTGTTGAAGAAACGTGAAGGTCATCGAAACAGCCTTTTGTCTGAGGTTTTCGACGCGACGCATACAAATGGCACACGTCTTGGAGAAAATAATGTTCGGAGACGTAGACACTTTGTTGGTAGAAGCACTGGATTCCTTGTTTGCCTCTGTTGCTCGTTCTCTCTCGTTCTCTCTCTCTTTCTCTCTTTCTCTCTTTCTCTCTTTCTCTCTTTCTCTCTTTCTCTCTCTCTCTCTCTCTCTCTCTCTCCTCTCTCTTCTCTCTCTCTCTCTCTCTCTCTCTCTCTCTCTCTCTCTCTCTCTCTCTCTCTCTCTCTCTCTCTCTCTCTCTCTCTCTCTCTCTCTCTCTCTCTCCCTCTTCTCTCTCTCTCTCCTCTTCTCTCTCTCTCTCTCTCTCTCTCTCTCTCTCTCTCTCTCTCTCTCTCTCTCTCTCTCCTCTCTCTCTCTCTCTCTCTCTCTCTCTCTCTCTCTCTCTCTCTCTCTCTCTCTCTCTCTCTCCCTCCCTCCCTCCCTCCCTCCCTCCCTCCCTCCCTCCTTCCCTCCCTGTTCCTCCCCTTCTTTCTCCCTCTCATTCTCTCATCTCCCTCTCATGTCTGCCCTTCATCACTTTATCTCCTTTCCTACCTCTTTTTCCCTCACCCTTCCTTCCTCCTTTCTTCCCCTATTCTCT